CTCTCTCTCTCTCTCCACATCCAACTCCGGTACCCCCGGCTCCTCCCGCTGCACCTTTCCCACCGTGCTCCCGTTTCACACCGACCCGACCGTCTCGCGCCGCTTGGCCTGCGCACCCCGCCCGCGTCAGCCTGCTGCAGCTGCTCGGTCGTGTGTACGTCCGCTGGCCCATTCCCCCTGGCCCCGGCTCCTCCTGCGTCAGCCTGCTGCAGCTGCTCGGCCGTGTGTACCTCCGTCGGCCCGTTCCCACCGGGCGACTCGAAAAAAAAAGATTTCGGCCCCCCGCGCGGCCTGTCAGCTCGTTCCCATCGGGCGACTCAAAAAAAAAAAGAAACGCTGTACCTTCCCCAGCTTCACGACCTTGCGCAGCGGATTCGAGTCCGCCAAAAACCGACTCGCGTATCGCCCCTTTTCGCCGCGGCCACTTCCCAGCACCGGCGCGCCGTCGGTTCCCCCTTGCCCACTGCCCGACAGCGGTCCCGCGCGACGGCGGCCGGTTTCTGTTGGGCCCCACACGAGGACCGCTATTTCCTCTAGTAGTATAGAGAAAATCCAGAGGAGGATATGTATCTAGTTTATGTCTCTGCAATAGGCGAGCCGGTGTAAATATCGTCGGAGATAGAGGGAGTAGTTGCTAGGTACCCTGATCTATTTGAAGAGTGGACAGGGGTTGTCGAGAGGGAGGTCGTCCACACGATAGAGATTTTCCCAGAGTCTAGCATCCCGAATGGTAGGATTTATCAGATTTCTCCTGGCGAGCTTGACAAGCTTCGCCGACAACTCAAGGAACTCGTAAAGAACGGTTGGATCCGGTCGAGTGTCTCCCCTTACGGATCTCCAGTCTTATTTGTGTCGAAGAAGGGAGGAACTTTGAGGATGTGCATTGACTATAGGGGCCTCAATGCCATCACTGTCAAGAACGGAGAGCCCCTACCGCGCATCGACGATTTGCTAGATAGAGTGCAAGGGTGTCGGTACTTCCCTAAGATACATCTGAAGTCTGCGTACCATCAGATTGCAATACGGGCCGAGGATCAACACAAAAACGCTTTTCAGACCAGGTACGGTCTGTACGAGTTTGTGGTGATGCCTTTCGGCCTTTGCAATGCTCCTTGCACCTTTCAGCACGCTATGAATCGGATCTTTCGCGTACCTCGGCGACATACTTATTTTTAGTAGAACTGTCGAGGCACATTGCACATTGAGATAAAAGTCCTCAGTCTCCTTCGGCAGCACAAGTTCAAGATGAATGGGGAGAAATGCGAGTTTGGTCGCACCCGGATCTTGTACTTGGGTCATGAGATTTCCGCGGAGGGTTTGAAGCTCGATAACGAGAAGGTGGCCAGCATTCGGGACTGGCCGCGTCCTCAGCCTGTGACTGAGATGAGGTCCTTCTTAGGGATGACCGGCTACTACCACAATTTTGTGAAGAACTATAGCATAGTTGCCGCCGCTTTGACGGACCTAACTCGCCTTGACACCCCATGGGAGTGGACAGACAGGTGTGAGGCTGCTTTCAGACATTTGAAGCATGCGTTGACACACCATGAGGTCTTGAAACTTCCTGATCCTGACAAGCCGTTTATAGTTACCACGAATGCTAGCCAATATGGCATAGGCGCCGTGCTCGCGCAGCACGAGGGGGCAAAGTTGAGGCCAGTGGAGTACATATCCAAAAAGATGCCCTCTCAGAAGTTGGCCAAGTCCACCTATGAGAAGGAGTTGTACGTGATCTATAAAGCGCTAACCCACTGGAGGCTATATCTCCTTGGGAGGTTCTTCATCGCCAAGACAGATCATGAGACCTTGAACTGGATGGGAACTCAGCTTGTGCTCTCTGATGCGCTGAAACGCTGGATCGAAGCCATTGAGCAGTATAACTTTGAGCCCCAATATCTCAAAGGTGAGCACAACAAAGTTGTTGACGCGCTTTCGCGTAGGCCAGACTTCTCCAGTGCGCTGATCACTGAGTTTGGGCTTGCGGACGATGTCACTCGCTCGTTGGTGGAAGCCTACCGCGAGGACCAGTTCATGTCTAAGATCATACGCAGACTCGAGGCGAAGGACAAGGTGACTTCTGCCGAGTTTGAGTTGGTCAACAGCCTTCTGTTCCTTGAGAAGGCCGGGAATAAACGATTGTGCGTTCCTAATAGAGACTCTATGCGTAGTTTACTTTTTGGAGAGTGCCATGATGCCACAGGACATTTTGGTTTCAAGAAGACTGCAGCCAATCTGTTGCGGCGGTTCTGGTGGCCCACGATGATGAGAGATGCCAAACTGTATGTCGAGACTTCAAGTTTGTCAAGTTTGTCAAGTTTGTCAACGTGACAAGCCCCGGACACAGGCTCCTCTTGGGCTGCTCAAGCCCCATGAACTTCATGGATACGCTAATCACCAGCAAGAGTGGCATGAGGTACCTCTACGTCATCGTGGATAGATTTAGTAAGTATGCTAGGTTAGTGGCCATGCCGGAAACAGCAAAGACCGTGTACGTTATCAAGCTATTTAAGGAAAACTGGGTCAGAGACTTTGGCCTGCCGAAGTCTATGATCAGCGACAGGGATGTCCGATTCACCAGTGAACTGTGGAAGGCCGCGGCTGCCGAACAAGGACCGCAGCTGCAGATGACATCTGGGAACCATCCAAAGGCAAACGGACAGGCAGAGCAAATGAACCACGTTGTTCAACACTTGCTAAGGCCTTACATTAAGCATAATCAAGTGGACTGCGATGAGAAGCTTGCTCTCATCGCCAGCCTATACAACAACGCAGTTCATAGTGCCACGGGAGTAAGTGCTAATAGCCTACTTCTAACATTCAAACCCAGACTCTCCCTTGACTTTCTGCTATTTGAGAACCAGCCTACTGCTGCTCCAGGCACTTTGGAGTTCGCTTATAGATATGAGAGTCATATGCAGCAGGCAGTAAAACACATGCACAAAGCACAGGCGGCAATGCTCGAATCTGAGAACAAGCACCGCTGCCCATCTATTTTTCAGGTAGGGGACAGGGTCTGGGTCAAGGCTTCAGAACTGGGACAGGAGCACGGGATTTCCCGTAAGCTCATGCCACAGTACTTTGGACCATGGGAGGTTTTGGATGTAGTTGGGGATGAACCCGACGGACCCTCGTATGTCATTCGGATCCCTGGACACCTTCGCACTTACCCTGTTTTTCACCCCTCTAAGCTTGCACCATTCAAGGAAACTGACCAGTTCCACTCTCGTCGCTCTATGCTGCCCCGAACCATGGACGGAGAGGTCGACATCGATGACATCGTTGATCACAGGGAGATGCCAGTTCCAAGACCGACAGGGAGAGGACATCCTCCAAAACCGAAGATGAAATACCGAGTTCGGTTCAGACATCACACTGATCCAAAGGAGGATAGATGGTTCACACAGGAGGAACTGAGGCAGACCACTCCACAGGTTCTCGCTCACTACGAGAAAACTCTGTAGAAGGGAAAACGCCAGATTATCGAAGACTGAACTTCTCAGAGGACTATCGAAGTATGGAGGATGGAATGCGAGGCACAGGGCCTCGATATGCTTTACAGGGCCTATTTTCCACACAGTTGGCCGCCCTAAGTGAAGGTAGGCACGACCGAGGGCTACAGCCCATTTCGCGGTCACCACGCAACTGGGGAAATTCAGGCAGTTGCGCAGCGCCAGTTGGTTGGAAGCACCCAGGCCCAGGCTGCCTTTCATTGCGTGTAACTGAGGCAGGCCCTGGGCCGGATACACAAAGTGGACCGAACAAAGGCTGAGGGCAGTTGGGTGCTGGTAAGCACCACAGGCCCTGGGCCTCCCAGTTGTCAAAGTTCTCTTCCCTGTTCTGCTTCCCATTTCTTCAGGGCGGCTTCCTGCTCATCCTCAGGGATATATATAGCCACTTCTTCTTCTTCTCCCAAGGACAAGTTAGCGATCCATTCTGAAATCCTCTTCTCCATCTCATCATTTTTACTACCACTGTACTGTCCTCTTTTCCTTTCCAGTGGCTGATCATCTTCCTCCTCTTCTTCTTCCACCTCTTTCAACTTCGCCTCTTCTTCCTTTCTCAACCTTTCCTTCTCTCTGGCCATCTCCTCCTCTATCTTTTTTAACTTCGCCGCCTGCTCCTCCTGCAGGGCCTTCTTCTTGGCCTCCGTCTCTTTCCTTTCCCTCAAAATGGCGGTCATCCTGGCTTCCTACTCTACACGTGAAGGTGGGCCAGAAGCCCAGAGGAAATAGGAGACGCCAAAGGGTCCCCACCCATACATAGGATAGTCATCCATCGTGGTGTCAGGTGCACGACAAAAGTCCCACTCCTCACCACTTAGACCTACCCGGACACACTGACCCACTGGCTGACTCTCTAAGACCACTACTCAAAACTACTTTAAGGCTGTCACTCTTGAACCAACAGCTGATCAGGAGGCATTTAAGGAGATCCCCCAAACTCCGCAAGAATTCTTTAACGTCGCAGTCAGGACGACATGATCAGCTTGGTTCTTCCTGGCGATTTCAGCCCACAACTCAGCCGTTCCGGCCTACTGTGCCACACCGAGCAGCCCGCCAGTCTGTACCGATCCGATACCAGTGCAATCAGACTCGACTTAAACACACTCCTCATGCATGTAAACAGCGATACAGCAAACTGGCGACCTGCGCCCAAACAGTACTCAGAGATATCGCAACCGGATAAGAGTTCTCTTTCAATTGGCTATGGCGGCTGTGCGCCCAAACAACTCACTGTTCACACTCTGGATCACCCTGGATGTCCCACGCACATCACTCTGAACACTCACACAGTACACACACACTGCACTCTATGCTAAGCTAAGGCAGCTATGGCTGCCGCTACCTATCGCTATGGCTACACTGCTTCACTCTCGCCCACTTCGTCTTCGGGCCTCCAGAAGACCTCCTTGCACAAGACGCCGAGACAGTGCTTCCGCATGGCTTCCGCCTGAATGAATGAATGGCTGGGCGCAGCCTCTTGATTTATACTTCTGTGATGCGCTGGTCTGCCCTGTAGCCCCTGGCCCATGGTGCACACAGTCCCAGACGGTACTTGCCTGACTGGACCGGACTGGGTGGACTGGGACTGCTGACTGTACGAGGTGGACTACCACCACTTGACCACTTGCCTCTGTCTAACGTAGGCTGACTTCGAAAGGCCACTTCTAGAAACCTCTGTCTTGGCCTTTCGGTACTGTAGCAGCTACGACTTTGCCCTCTCATGTAAGTAGCAGCTACGACCTTGACCCTTCAGACAGTCTACGGGTATGACCTCTGGACTGTCTAGACTCCTACCTGATAGGTCTACAGTTCGAATCCCTTCTACCCTGTGACCTACGAAATCCTACCTACCACTGGCGGTCCTACAGGTCGCAGGTTCAATTCTACGGGTTGACACCGATACTGTACACAGGTAAGGTGGGGATCTAGGGATCGAGCCCTGGGATCTGCATCAGCTACTGCAAACCAGTGAATACTGTTTGAGTCACCACGCAACTGGGGAAATTCAGGCAGTTGCGCAGCGCCAGTTGGTTGGAAGCGCCCAGGCCCAGGCTGCCTTTCATTGCGTGTAACTGAGGCAGGCCCTGGGCCGGATACACAAAGTGGACCGAACAAAGGCTGAGGGCAGTTGGGTGCTGGTAAGCACCACAGGCCCTGGGCCTGTTTACTTCGGACTGAGGCTCAGCCTCGTGGGGCCTACTGGAAGCTTCTGGGCCAGGGCCCACTACCGCATTACCACACGCAGCAGCAGGCCACTTCGATATAGAGAAGGGCCTGCCTACGCATTGGACATTCGGGCACTGGCTGCATGCTGCGCTAACGCTGGCCAGGCTCGCGCACTCACGGGCGAGCTAGAAGGAGCAGGCAGCCATAGCCGAGCTGCGCTGCTGTATGCTGGACGGGGCGCATGGTGGTCCTTGGGTGCATGTGGCATCTGTGAGTTGGGGAACGAGTTTGTGAGTGATACGAGAGACATACCTGGTGCTTGAAGCGTACGGCATTGTCCGAGATCTGCTTGTACTTCCGGGAGCTGTTGACGTCATCAGCGGCATCGTAGAGTAGGCTAGATAGGATCTGCCATATGTAGTCTGGCTGCCAAGCGCCAGATAGGATATCAACATTGGTTCTTCATTGATGATGATGAGACTATTTCAGCATTGTCAATTATGAGCTTTTGGTGGTTCTTCATTGATGATGATGAGACTATTTCAGCATTGTCAATTATGAGCTTTTGGTGTGCTCTTATTTGGTGAAACTCGTGATGCAATTCTGCTATTGGTTTGAGGTCATGACTATCTGGTCTCATGTGTATGATGCTGTTTGATTTCTGAAGTTCGCTATTGCTCATCCTCCTTGCATACCGTTCAGCTACATGGGCTTGGCCTTCTGTTTTCTTTTTCTTTCGGGGTAGTACCAGCCAGCCCACATAGTGCCATCCAGTATACAGACTATCATCCCCCTCACGTACTGCCACGCAACCCACATAGTATCCGCCTGGCCAAATAATACCGCTAAGCCCACATAGTACCACCCCGTCCATAGTATGACCCACCCCACATGGTGCCACCCGACCAGCTCAGAATCACGCAGGCCGCATAATGCCACCAGAACCGCGTAGTATCAGCCAGGCCACGCAAGTCTGCATAGTATGATCCAACCCACATTGTGCCGCCCAATCCACATCATACCGCCAAGCCGATATAGTATCACCCACACCACCTGATACATCCCGCCCCGCATAATACCACCTGGCCATGCCCACAGCCAAGTTGTGCCCAACTTTGGCCATGTTTTTTTTAGCGTGTGTGTGGCTATGGTCTGAAATCAGGAGGTGGACTTAGTTTTCTTTCCTTCCAAATGCTTCGCCGCACGGATGGCAGAGGACGGGGAGTAGAAGGGGGACATGGTGTGAAGGGGACGAAGACCAGGACGTGGCAGAGGAGAGGCAGGAGAGAGAGAGAGAGAGAGAGAGAGAGAGAGAGAGAGAGAGAGAGAGAGAGAGACATTGGCTTTAAAGCAGATTTCAACATGGTCATATCTCATGTCTCCACATGCTTATTTCAGCTCATTTCCATGGGCCCGCTCTGTGCAAGGCAGGCGTAGCAGTGTCGGGTCTGCTTGTTATCCAAATTTTACTGTCTCGGTCCATATCCATGAGCAGAATGAGCGGAATGAGCAGAAAAAGGTCATTCAGCGGGCATGAAGAGAGACAGAATTGTGACATACACTGATGACATCGCCCTCTGCATAGATGCTGCTCATGTTTTGCTCGTCCACTTCTGTACGCCGCCTCTGCCAAAAAGACAAAAGAACGACAAGATGCAGGCGGGAGAAGTCAACTGTTGTCAGCACATAACAACCGAGGAAGAAGACGAACATTGTGCTATGTTCACAGAAAACATCATTATATTGGCTCCTAAGGGAGGCATAGAAAACATCATTATGTCGACTCCTAAGGGAGGCAGCAGGAAGGAATCTTGTGTTACAAGCCAATAGGAGATCAGGCACCTAATATCAGATGCAGATCAGTGATCCGGAGAGATGCAGTTCAGGATCGACACCTGGACTTTGTTCCAGGTCCCAGGTAAAGATCCAGGTCAACCCTTGTGCGTTCACAAGCAGGATTAAGCAGATCCAGATCAATGCAGCTGTTTTTTTCGCTCTATCTCCTTAGTAGCCTTCTCTTCTTCCCCCTCCCCTCTAGCTGCTGCTGTTCTTGTCCCTGGTTCACTTCCTCCTCCTCCACTTTCCCCTCCTCCAGCTGCTGCTGTTCATGTTCCTGCTTCACTTCCTCCTCCTCGTCCTCCTCCTCATTCTCCTCGTCGGACTTCTTAGTAGCCTTCTGTTCTTCCCCCTCCTCTAGCTGCTGCTGTTCTTCATAATCTTCTTCCTCCTCTTCCACAGCCTTCTCCCCTGACCCTTACCGCTGATCATTGTCTATCGCGGCCAGCCAGTAGCACATTACTTGTTTCTTCGGTGTTAATAGCATACCCTCAATCCACCAGCCTCCACAAGAATGATTGCCTATTTACTCGCAACATGAAGGGTCTGCAAGGAAAATGAGCAATAGGAAATTCCAGAAAGCAAGCAGCATCATACACATGAAACCAGATAGCCTTGACCTCGAACCAAAAGCAGAATTGCAACTCGAGTTCCACCAAATAAGAGCACAGCAAAAGCTCACAAGTGACAATGTTGGANCGAGTTCCACCAAATAAGAGCACAGCAAAAGCTCACAAGTGACAATGTTGGAATAGTCTCATCATCATCAACAATGAACCGATGTCGAATCTCTATCTGGCGCTCAGCGCCCAGACTACGAATGGCAGATCCTATGTAGCCTATTTACAATGCCGCTGGTGAACTCAACAGCTTCCCGAAGTACCAGCAGATCTCGGCCAATGCCATTCGCATCAAGCACCAGGTATGTCCCTCGCTTCACTCACAACCTTGATCCTCCACACAGATGCCACATTCACCCAATGTTACATGCCCAGTTGGGCAACGTACATATATAACCTAGGATCCGCAATGTGATGAAAAGGACAGAATGGACAATGCAGTGCTAGTGGAATCTCAACAAACAGTGTACATCCTGATACCTACAAAAATGGTGCTTTGTAGCGCAGTGGAAGACTTAGATATAAGTCCTGACCTGACCGGGACTGACCTCTATCACGTAGTGCAAGACAGCGCAGCAGAATGCTAGAACACCGATGACTAGCCCAATCAATGTCACAATGCAGACCAAACATACATCATCCTCATCACAAGGTGTGAAGGGGTCTGGCGCTACACACAGGAAGAATGCGCCAGGTCCAGACCATGCACAGACGAGGAGGAGGGAATCAAACGAAGAAGAGGGGGGGGAGATGGGAATGTCGTCAACACCAAGTCTTCGTTACAAGTCCCAAATAATCCCTCGTCGAAATGTCTGAAGCCCAATGTCGAGTCTGGATCCAAATGTCACCAATCCCGCTCTCTCGTAGTCTGCTGATACAGTGAAATCAGGTAGCGAGAGGGTGACAGGGAGATGGTGGACTGAGAAGAGGAAGAAAAAGAACTCTCTCTCTCTCCCATTTGCCAGGTACTAACCTGTGAAGATGGCCCTGTGCTGCAGGTACCTCGAAGACGAAGCTGAAGCTATGGCGCTGCAGGTAAGTCTCCCTGGCCTCCGCCCAATCTCTCTCTCTCTCCCCAGTACTACTCCAGCTCCTACTAGCCAGCGCTGAAGTCTACTGCTAACGCTACTACTACAACTGCAGCGCTCCTCCAGAGTGCTGCTGCCGAATCCTGAAGACTACCTCCTGCCTCCTGAACTGCACGTGAAGTGCCTGGGAAGTCCCTATGACCTACATGCAGCCTGCAGGGCAGGCCAGTCTTACATAGTCCTGGCCCGTCCAGGAGGCTGCTCTTGCCAATGCCAAAATGTACCAGACCCTGCGGTTGAAGCTCAAACAAAGGTTGTCTTGAAAACAGGCCAAAAATGGCCTGAGCTAAAACCCTGGTCTGGTGCCTGAGTTTCAGGGCAGGTCGATCTTACGAGGGCCTGAAAATGGCCCTCCGTTTCAGGCTGAAAAGACTCAGGGTCGGAAAGGCCCTGTTTTAGCCTGAAACGACAAAGGGCCTGTAGGCCCTTTTTTTCAGGCTTTCAGGCTGAAACGACACAGGGCCTGTAAGCCCTTGTTTTCAGGCTTTCGGGCTGAAAACGACATGGGCCTGAAAATGGCCTGTGCAGCCTGTTGCAGGCGCAGCATGTAATACCCCCCCCTCCTTATGAAGCCAAGCCGGGTCGAGGGCGAAGCTGACGATCTGAAGGTGGAACCTGGACGCGGGTGCTTAGTGGAGCCGAAGATACCGGCTTGCCTTGCAACTTGGGTTCGTAGCGTGCGAGAACATCTGGAGCTGTTGCTTGGAGTTCCGCACAGGTCAACCACCGGTCAGCTTTGTGGGTGCAGTACACAAAGTGTACCAAGTATTGTCGTAGCGTCCCTGGGAGATGATGTCGCCGACCTCTTGAAAACCGTCCATAGAGGGTGGGTCTTGCGATCGTCGCCCGGGAACATCATCATGTTCCGTTGGCGTGTAAAGAGGCAACTTGGAGCAATGAAAGACCGGGTAGAGGGGCAAGTGGGCGGGCACCTGAATGGTGAAGGAAGGTCCTTCGGGTGCATCCCCAGCGGGTGCCACGATCGGCCAGGGCCCCATCCATTTCGGAAGGACCTTGTGAGAGAGATCTTGTTCGAGGCTGAATTCCGTGGTGGAAACCCAAACGAGATCGCCGACGCGGAATGGGCAAGGAAGACGCTCGCGATCAGCCTGTTGGCTTATGCGTTGCTGCGTCTTAGCCATCTGGTCGCGTGCCTTGACAAGTAGCTCTTGCATCCGACGCAAGAAAAGAAGATGGTCGTCGCTCTCGGCTGCTCGTGGAATGATTGTGTCCAACAGGGAAGCGACCGGTGAGCCGTGCTCGAACTCGAAGGGCGACATCCCGATAGCCGGGTGGATGGATGAGTTGTATGCCAACTCGACATCCGGCAGCCTCTCAACCCAATCCTTTTGGTTGGGACGGATGAGCGTGCGAAGGAGGACCTGTGCGGTCTAATGCGCCCTCTCCGTTTGGCCATCGGTTTGGGGGTGGCGAGCTGAACTCGGCTTGAGAGATAAGCCCCATCGTTTGATGAGCGCCAACCAAAAATCGGACATGAACAGAGTGTCGCGATCGCAGAAGATTGGGTAACCCTTGGTTCGAATCCAACCGGCGTAAAGAACCTCGGCCAACTCCGGTGCCTTGGAATGATAGAGGCAAGGCAAAAACATGGCCAACTTGGTAAGTTGGTCGACCACTGTGAGAATCTCGTCCACACCGGTCTTGTGCTTGGGGAACGGCCCGATAATCTCAATGGCAATCGCATCCCTTTGGTGCAAGGGGACCGGTAATGGTCGCAACTCGCCGTACGGACGATGCTTGCGGGATTTGCAGCGTCGGCAAACCTCGCATGACTCACAATAGCGTGTGACGTCGCCGAGAAGGCCGTCCCACCAAAAGCGCTCGCGAAGTCGGCCAATCGTGCGATTGACTTAAAGTGTCCGGTGGTGGGAGCATCATGGAACTCACCAAGAAGCCGTGTACGCAAGTGAGAGTCACTCGACACGCAAAGAAGGTCCTTCCCCCACATGTGGACAAGCAAGTACCCCTCTTGGATCCGGTAGTGAGAAGGCGTCGGATTAGGAGAGGAGCAATTTGCGTACTTGTCGTGAAACTCGGGGTCGGCTTGGTAGCCGCGGATGAAGTTGTGCCACAGGTCGTCATCGATCTCGAAGGTCGAATAGACTGCGGTACAATGATCCGCACGCCGTGAAAGAGCATCCGCAAAACGGTTAGACTTCCCTGAAATGTGATCACGAAAGAAGTCGAATTGGTCGATGAAATCCATCCAACGGGCGATGGTGCTATTGAGGTGTCTTCGGTCTTGTAGAACACCAACGGATTGTTGTCTGTTACCCATCGGAATTGACTTCGACCAAGGAGGAAGTGCCGCCATCACTTCAGCGTGTGGACGAAGGCTAGGAGCTCCTTCTTGCGTGCATCATCAATGGAGTGCACGACGGGCACTTTCTTGCTGAAGTACTCGACCAGGTGCCAGTCCATGCCATTGTGTTGCTCGAGGACGGCACCAATGCCACAGCTGGACGCATCCGTAGTGACACGCATTGGCAATGGCGGGTCGTATATGCGCAAGACCTCCGAAGATAATCGAGCGGCTTTGAGAGCCAAAAATGATTCCCGCGCATCCTCTCCGAAGTTAAACAGCCGATCCGAAGCATTGAAGTTTGGTCAAGTGGGTCGTGATCTTCGAGTATCCCTTGATAAAACGTTGGTAGTAGCCGGCAAGGCCAAGGAACGAACGAACATCCGTGACGTTCCGCAGCTCCGCCCACTCTCGGATAGCTTGAATCTTGTCCTACAATGGACTGCTGCCCTCCGGTGTGACAAAATGGCCCAAGTATCCCAACTCTTGTCGGACAAATTCGCACTTATTTGGCTGTGTACTTGGCGCGGCGGAGCGTCTCCAACACTCGTGGAAGGTGCTCAAGATGATCCTCCAATGTCCGGCTAAAGACGAGAATGTCCTCTAAGTAGACCAGCACGAACCGGTCCAACATCGCACGAAACTCGTTGGTCATTGCCACTTGAAACGTCGTCGGGGCGTTGGTGAGGCCGAAAGGCATGACCACCAGCGTTGTCAAGCGGGGATCCCCGGGGGCAAAGCCGGTGTGAAGCTGCGGCCCCCGGACCCCCGCCGCGGGGGCCATCCAACCCCGCCACCGCCGGACGACCCCCGCCGCCGCCCAGCCCCGGGTACCCCGTCGCCTAACCCCGCAGGCCCGCCACCGGCCCCGCAACCCCGCCCCCGCATCGCCCCC